TATCAGTTATAGTTTCTCTCAAGCCAAGTCAAAATGTTATGAGAGTTACCCAGAACTGCAAGAATTCTCCATGGAACAAAGAGACCGAGTAAATACGCCAACATTATCCCAATTGTTACAGAAAGCTATAAAACAAGAAACATCAAATGTTTAATGTTGATATAAAGATCAACTCACACAATGCAAAGTGGATAAAAAAAAAAAGGAATAGTTAACATGCCAAACCTGGTTCACTGAACCTAAGGCTCCTCTCATGTTCTGTGGAGCGATCTCGGCTATATATACAGGCACCTAAATCGCGAACAAAGTTGTGTAAACATAGTGATTACATTACTCAAAACAAACATTGCTGAAATCAAAGAACTAGTAGAGTCTAGTTTTACCGTGTAAGAGATTATCCCAACGCCGAAACCTTCTAACAATCTTCCCATGTAAAGAAAAGAAGTATCCTAAACAAAAACCAAGAAGAATGACTTCAAAGTTAGATAAATAAGCCAACAATATCAGAAACTCTGAGAAGACCGGATACTCACTTTTGCGAATGATATCGAAAGCCATCCGATAATATTGGGAATCGCAGCAATCATCAGAGACTGCCATAAGGAAAAACCAAAGCAATTAAGATACAACAAGAAAGAAGAAACATCGTTATATAACAATATTGTCACAAAATGAGAATCAAGAAACATTTTACCCCTTTTCGTCCAATGTATTCTGCGATCTGACCACTTGCAATAGCTCCAACCATAGCACCCACATTGGATAGAGACCCAAACACAGAGTACTAAACATTCAAACATGAAACCTAACAAGTCAGAAAAAAAGAGTCTTAAAGAAACCAGAACAGTTGTTAGATAAAGGTGGGACCTTTATACCTCGGATACAGTTAAACCAAGATCCTTAGTAATAGCAGCTTGAGTTGGAGATGAATAACCACACTGAACCAAAACAGATTAAAGACCCCAAAATCAACACTTTCTGAGTTCCATTATTGATCAAATTAAGAAAGTTAAAGACTTTTTATGTTTTCGTTTGTCTTACAGTGAATCCGAATTGAATAGGACCAAGAGCTACGATCAAAACACAAGCTAAGACAGAGATTGAGCTGTCTCGAATAACTTGAGAGGATTCCAACATACTAGATTGTCTGGAACCCATCCGGTACCAACTTCCGGTGTGTAAGAAGGGTCGACGAATATCATTCCTCCCTTCCTCTGTATCATCCCTGAAAC